CAAAAAAATATTTATTATCAATTTGAATAATTTGAATATAAATTTTTTAAAGTTTGGTTAGCTAAAGAAATAATTAAGTTTCTTTCGTTAATTTTTATCACGTGATATTAGACAATATGTATTAACCAATAAAACAAACTCGCCCTATGCTATTTTTTTGATACATCATTTTTCAATTAATTATTTTATGATCACATGATTTTGTTATTCTATAAATCACGTGATAATACATATTTAGTTGCATCACGTTACTCAAAATAGATATATCAAAAACGATACCTTTGCGTCATCAGGGTTAGGAAGTTCATGATTTTCAAAAAAACTATATAATCAGTTGGGAAATTGATTTTTTTTTTAGGGAGTTCATGCATTTAGGAAATTCATTCATTTTTTAAAATATAATGGTTTTATACCGCATTTCTATTCAATTGTATTAAAATGCAAAAGGAAACTGTCTTTAATTTTCAGTTCCGACAGTTAATTTAACGGGGGACAATTAAATCACAAAAGTTAACATATATTATATAATATAATATATGTAATGTTAAACTGTATATAGTAAACTATATAATAAACTAGTATTATTATTATTCTACTCATAAAAAATGATAACTGCAACGCATTTTCATCATATGACTAATAAAATGATAAGCGAACTACTTAAATTTATTTTTATACGGTTTGAATAAGTGGCGATCAATTTTACGTAAAGCTTAACACCTACCATATTTTCTTTAACTACTTATAGCAGCTATTTCAAAAAACATGGATTACTAACTGTTAAATACATAACATAATTTCTTTATCGGCTTGAACTGCAGATACAGGATAAACACCACTCGAAAGTGCTTTACCTAAAATGTAAGATCTGCTTTACATATTTTCACCGTACAAGCCAAACCGGTTTGAATTTCATCAGCAATTAATAAATCATTATGCTTTTTGCAATGATTATAAATAATCATCAAGTTCAAATAAAAATCTAGCCACAAGGAGACTCTAAATCGTAAGTAAATTAAATCCCGTCCGGAATTCGGGATCAATTGACATAGAAATGAACTGTGAAAAAAATATTAGTGGTTTATTTTCCGGAATGCCTTTTCAAGGTAACCCAAACACCTTATTCATGGATAAAATGATGTCATAATTAAAATACTGAATAAATAAATAAACAAATTACGAACTTTTGATGTATTTATATACAGGAGAAATAGTGCAGCAATTTTGGTAAATCATGAATTCTTTCTTAAAAAAAAAAAATAAATCGTATGCACTGTAAGTGAGAAGTGGAATACTTAAATTAAAAAATCACTTTGTAAAAAGTATGCATTGTCAAATAATCATAAGTTTAATAAAAATTAAATTTTGGAAAGGTGCATAATAATAAAAATAAGGAGAACTGTTAACAGAATAAAAGTCTCCAGGTACAAGATATTGAGAAGGTTGACCCGATAATGGAATAAGAGATGAATGAGGAGAATAATTGTTAAGAGAAATATTGCCACCAGCAGCAATAGAACAAATAAATTCATTTTCATTTATATTGACACAATTCTGAGGAGGTTGATTTAATAATGAAGTAAGAGGAGAATGGGAAGAAGTGTAAGAATAAATATTGTCATTAATAGCAATAGGACTAATAAATTTATCTTCATTTGCATTGACATGATTCTGAGAAGGTTGATTTAATAATGGAATAAGAAGAGAATGATCATTGCTACCAATAGTGATAGGACCAATAGATTCATTTGTATAGATAAGATTTTGAAAAGGTTGGTTTAAAATGGAGTAAGAGAAGAATGTGAAGGAGGATCATTGTTAAAGGAAATATCAGAATTAAAATCTCCAGATACAAAATATGGAGAAGGTTGACCCGATAATGGAGTAAGAGAAGAATAAAGAGAATAATTATTGAGAGAAATGTTTTTATTGGTATTAATAGAATTAATAAATTCATCTTCATTTGTATTGACATAATTCTGAGAAGATTGATCATTTAATAGGGAAGGAGAATGGGAAGAAGTGTAAGGAGAAATATTGCCATAAGTAGCAATAGGACTAAAAATTCATCTTCATTTTTGTGAGAAGGTTGATTTAAAAATGAAATAATGGAATAAGCGGAGTATGAGGATCATTGCTAATAGATTCATTTGTATAGGTATTATTTTGAGAAGGCTGATTTAATAATGGAGTAAGAATAGAATGGGAAGGAGAATCATTGTTAAGGGTATGTTACTATTTGTAGAAATTTTCATTTTTTTTCTATTTTATTTTTTTATTTGAATCAATGAAACAGATTGGACCCATTTTTGTATGGTTTGCATTTTTGATGGTTATTATTTAATTGTTTTCGCACTATTTCCTCAACAATAACCTGCGGAGGAAATTGAACTTTAATAATAGGAAGATCCATTTTTTTTGATAAACGGAATCTCAAACGTTTATTTTATATACAATTTTAGCGAGTATAAATTCATCCGTTAAATTTTTATTTTGACAATGTGTTGCACAAACTGCGATCTAATACATACATTGGAGGTGGCACTAAATTAACCGAAGTCACGGGAGATGATAAATGTTACTATTTTCCTTGCGCATCATCCTTCATCCAAGATAGTTGTTTATTCATCCCCGTGTTTATGGATGATGATGGATGAAGGTAAATAAAAGAGAAGATATAAAATAACTGCGGGTTGGGAAGGGAAGAAAGGAGATTTCTTTTGGCCTTGATAATAAATAGGTCATTTTTATTTCTTTTTTTTTTTGTAATAATCCTAAGAATAGTAAATAATTTAGTGGAGCGGAATAACAAAAGTAATAAGATACGCCAAAGCAGTAATATATCGCTATTGTAATATTCCTATATTAAACTTTAATAAAATTTAATAAACTATTTCTTTTATTTCTTGGCAAGTTACATCAAAAGTCTGTCCAGTTTAGTAGTGTGCAAAGCAGTCAGTAAAAGATACTTTTACTCCACTTGCTCAACGTATCTTCAGGTTTTACACGTAATTACATTATTATGATCGTTAGTAAGCGGGTATAGACCGACTGATTGCCTGTTCTCACTACATCACGGGAATAAAGAGTATCGTTAGAATAATATTGTGTTGAGTAATAAATTTGAGACTGACTGACGTAACTTTCCATATCGCTCGTGACACTATCCTTTCTACCTAAAATATAAATTTTCTGAATAACTCAAACGCAAACCAAAAATAATTCATTCATTTCATTACAATTAAAACATATGTCCATTTTTAGTTCAATCTTCTAATGATAAAAGCTTTATCCATTTATTATCATATTAAGTATTGTTACACAAACTCTTTAAACAATGAATCCATAATTAAACTATGTATATTAAACTACAATAAACTACAAAAAGTGATACCTTTTGTCAATACTTTTCCGCTCTTGAGCCTTTATCAAGTTCTTTACCATGTATTATGTAACCATTTCTTTTAAATCTGACCATCAGTTTCATCAGTTTCGGGAGTAAGATCTATCAATCTTTGCAATCGCTCGTTGTCTTAATTTGGAAATTAAATATTTATCGGCGATGACGTATATTTCTAAAACATTATAACGTATGGTTACTTCGAATTTGCTTGACTGGTATAAAGTAATCGTAACACTGTCAAAAAAGGTTCATAATCAAAATCTGTAATATCGATATGGGAGAATATAAAGTATTGTTGTGATTTATGATGCCTGCTGCAATTATTTTCTGGAAGTAGAAACTAATGTTATTATTTAATTGTTTTTACACTATTTCCTATTACACCGAAATATAACATAAGTTCCTCCGGCTTGAATTGGGCAACAACTTAAATTACCTTTTGATAGCTGGAATGACAATGATAACAATAATAATGAAAATAATATATTCTCAACAGTATCCCGCAGAGGAAATTAAACTTTAATAAGATACTTTTTATCGAGGATAGCATCAAAGGAATTCGGAATGCTTTATTATACAATTATACAATTTACAGTAATAAAAAAGTAAAATAAAATTCTAAATTGACTTGACCATTAAAAAATCAAAATTAGAAATTGTCGAGATTATTACGATTATTCTGATATTTTTCTTTTTTGTATTTACACACTGTCTTCTTTACATATTCTTTGCATCTTTTTTCACCTATCTTTTGCATATTCTGGTCTTTATGCGAAATTCCATATCTTTGCATTTATAGTCAAGTGATAAAATATATATTTCCTAATCCAAACAATAAGTAAAAATGAAGGTAACAATTTCTAGCGAAATCTTAGATATATATGAATGCGTAAGTTAAGTAATCCATTAATTTTAAATAAATATACAGTATATGAATGCAAAGATGAATAAAAATATTATTACAATTTTTATTTTTTTTTTTTTAAAAAAAAAAAATCAATAATACGTATATAATATATATAACATACATCCAAATTTCTAAATTTTCACTACTCTATTCTTCCTACATATACTGTATATCCATAATATTAAAAAATGGTATACTGTAGATAGAAAACTAAAGTATTTAATCATGTGACGTGGTTGACTTATCTCAAAATCATGCAATTTCGATCTATAAACATCCGCGGATTCAGTAATAAATAAGCCGAATAATAAAAAATGTAGACCTCTTTAGGAAAAAGATTGTTATTTCCTAATGATAAGTAACTCCTTATCTTGGAATAAGGTTCTAACTTGCGAAAAGTTAGAAAACTGAATATATTTTTGCTATTTAATTATAAATAAATTAGTATAATACGAAAATGCAACATTGATTCATAAAAGACCTTCTTCAATGACACATTTAATTCACAGAAACATTGAAGTTTGAAAATTTTCCTTTATTTGATAACAAAAGTATAAAATGAGAACAATTCTTTCTTTTAAAAAATAATAAATGGTCGTTTAAAGATTAATTAATTACAGCACCACCATGTGATATTTCTTAATGTTATTGATCCGAAAATTTATTATTTGTATATAAATGAAGACAAAACTTTGATATTTTCAATGTCTTTTTTTATATTATCAATAAAGTAAACCATAAAAAATACACTTTAGGTCATCATTTTTTTAATTTTAAAATATTACTTTTTCGATTTTCAATTTAATTGTTAAAGTAATCAAAATTAATTGATATATAATAGGTATATAATAAAAGTAAATAATCGGTGAATATTCTGTTTATTTTTGAAAAATAAATCATATGAGCTGTAAATGAGAAGCAAATTTCTTAATTAAAAATTACGTTATAGAAAGTATGCATTGTCAAATAAATCATTATTTAATTAAAATTAAAATTTGGAAAAGGTTTAAGGTTCATAAGAATAAAGACAAGGATAATCGTTAACAGAGTTAACGTCATCAGATACAATATATTGAGAAGGTTGACCCGATAATGGAGTAATAAAAGAATAAGGAAGAGAAATATTGCTATTAGAATAGTCATGATTTTGGGACAAAAATTCATAATTCTGATATATGGGAATAAGGGGGGTCATTGCTACCTATAGCGATAGGACTAATGGATTCATTTTGATTTTGAAAAGATTGGTTTAATAATGGAGTAAAAATAGAAATATGAAGGAGAATCATTGTTAAAGGATATATTGTTACTTGTAGCAATTTTCTTTCTTTTTGTTTGATTTATCCGATTCATCAATGAAACACAGAGATTGGACACGCTCTTTAAAAGAATTTTTGACCTCCTTGGCCAATTTTTTATAATAATTTTTTATTTGTTGTGGTTCCGTTTTCCAAGAAACTGCAGCTAATTTTGAAATATCTCCAAGATTAAAATTAGATTGAGATTTGTGAATTTGTGAATTTCGCTATTAAATTCTCGTCTGTATGATTTACATTTTTAATATTATTATCTAATTGTTTTTGAACTATTTCCTCAACAGTAACCCGCGGAGGAAATGGAGGAAATTGAACGTCAATAATAGGAAGAACCATTTTTTTTTTTTTTGATAAAAGATTTATGGGAAAACGTTTATTTATATACAACTTTAACGATTTTAACGTATAATTAATGTTCATAATATTCGTCCGTTAGTTTTTTTCGACGTTTGCACAAACTGAATAATATTTTATCTAATTTTATAAAATAATACGATTATGTAAATTTAATAGATCTTTCCATTTCTCACACGATTATAAAAATAACTGTTTCTCAGCAACAATGGGCCGAGCCGTAAATTATTAATTTAATTTTAGCAAACTCTTCTATGTATTTATTTGTTTTATAAATTGTATATTTATTTATCAATATAATAAACGTCTTTGATTGAGGCTTCGTTGGTTAAAGAAAAAAAAATTTTATTTATAATTTTATTTATTAGTTTGGACGTGTGGCATTCTAAACATCCTATATCAATTTATAAAATAGGTAATAAAATTAAGATGATAAGAAAAAATAAAGAAAAATAATGATTATAATAAAAAGTTCACTTTTTTTTCCCTTCCTGATTCATTTTGTCTTCTTTCGATCTTATCCATGTACCTGTATGTAATGTAAAACACGAGAAAAAATCTTCTGTTTTTAGTTTTAAAATCAATTTAATTTAACTTCCACCTCTTTTTTTTCTCCATACTTTTAATCATTTAAATATTTAAAAATTTAAACCTCATCATTTAAACATAAATAAAATAAATTTAAATATATAATATCTTTTTCTAGTTCTCATTTTACAGTTTAGGTGATGTCTATTATTGATTCGTATAAATTATAGATTGTCCAATAACTTATACTACATTATATTATACTGTACTTCACATAGTGTTTGAAATTCAATATGTGGACTGTGTGCTAGCACAAAATTTGAAAACTCCTCATATAAAAAAAAGGCATCCGCACAAATTTTTGCATATAGGATTCTAAATTTTGTATATTCCGTACAGGATTTAAATTTGAATTTCAAACACTGCATAGAACATTAATAAAATTATACTTTAAAACATATATAAAAATATGTTGATGCATAATAAATAGTAAAGTACAATTTATTCGGGAATTATTTTGTGATAGATATAATATAATATTTATGTATAATAAATAATAAATGAAAATTAACGGTTTATGTTGTAATATCGCATTACTTATAATAAAAAAATTGATTTTAAATCAAGAAATTATTTTTTATTTCTTTTTATACATACATTACTCATAATATTTTATAATATATAATTATACATTTAAATTAAAAAAAAAAAAAAGAAAAAATTTTCCCGTTTTCTATTTATTATTATTAATAATATTTTAATGGAAATTTACACGTGGTGTGGGCAAATATACATAAATACATATGATAATATATAATACATAATGATTCTTACTTTAAAAATACTTGGGTTTTCTTCATTATTTTGGCGTAAGTATAGTAATTTAGTTTTTCGGATTTTTGCTTTATTTTCTCTCTTTAATAATTATTTTTTTTTGTCCCAATACTTTTGACAAGATTTTTTTTTTATAATAATCTTTAATATGCTGTAACTTTGTTTTCCAAGAGAAAGCAGCTAAATTTTCATATTTCTTTAAGTTTAAAACTTAAATCGAATCGAGATTCATGAAATTCACGTCTATAGATCATAAAAGACTTTATATTTTAATATTATTATTTAGGAAATCGAACTTTAATAAGATACTTGTTTTTTTTTTTTTCGAGAAAAAATTTATGGATAGAATCAAAGGAATTCGGAATATTTTGCATATACAATTTACGGTAACAAAAAAAAGTAAAATTCCAAGTTAGTCAAAATAAAAGATTAGTTGATACACATGATCCGGACGATTATTCATAGTTGCTGATTAATGATAAGGAAATGTAACATTGATTCATGGAGGACACCACCTTCTTCAATGACTATTTAATTCATGGATCACTAAATATTCTTGAAAAATAAATCATATTCACTATAAAGAAAGAAGGGAATGCTTAAATTAAAAATTCTTTATATTATAAAAAGTATGTAGTATCAAATAAATCATAAGTTTAAAAATTTGGAAAAGGTGTATAAGAATAAAAATAAGGATAATCGTTAACGGAAATAACGTCATTAGATACGATATATTGAGAGGGTTGATACAATAATGGAGTAAGAGAAGAATAATAGTTAAGAGAAATATTGTTACTAGTAGCAATAGAACCAATAAATACATTATCATAGGCATAATTCTGAGAGGGATGGTTCAATGGAGTGAAAGAATGAGAAGATGAATAAGGATAATTGGTATTAAGAGAAGTATTGCTGTCAACAATAAATTCATCTTCACTTGTATTACTTGTGTTAACATTCTGAAAGATATGTTTCAATGGAGTAAAAGAATGAGAAGATGAATAAGGATAATTGGTGTTAAGGGAAATATTTCTATTAGTAACAATATTAATTTGATTTTTAATCCTTTTTCTATTTGATTCATCAATGAAACACATAGTTTGGACACGTTTTTTAAAGTAGTTTTTGACATCCTTAGCCATTCTTTTGTAATGATCTTTGATATATTGTGGTTCTGTTTTCCAAGAAACGGCAGCTAATTTTGATATTTCTTTAAGTTTAAAATTAAATCGAGATTCACGAATTTCGCGATTAAATTCACGTCTGTAGATCATAAAAGAATTTACTGTATGATTTGCATTTTTAATATTATTATTTAATTGTTTTTGCACTATTTCCCCAACAGTAACCCGCGGAGGAAATTGAACTTTGACAAGATACATTTTTTTCGAGGATAAATTATGGAAAAGGAATTCAAAACGTTTTATTTTATATATAATTTCAATGTGGCCATATGTTAACGTGTTCATTTTTTGTATCACCTTTTTATCAGTCAGGAGGAATTTTTTAAGGTTTTTAGTGAACAATTCATTTTTTCATGCAATTGAATTTTTTAAGGTTTTTAGTAACCAATTCATTTTTTCGTGAATTTTTTAAGGTTTTAGTAACTTATTCATTTTTCATACAATTGAATTTTAAGGTTTTTAGTAACTAATTTAGTAAACTGTATAGAAGACAAAACAAAATAAATAATCTTTCGATAATTACAAAAATTTTTTTATTCATCTATTCTTTGTAATTTCATTTGTCTTTATACAAATGCTCACATCTTTGCATCATAGTCAAATGACAAAATAGATACTTTCCTAATCCAAAACAATAGGTAAAAATGAAGGTAACAAATGTTAGCGAAATCTTAGATATATGAATGCGTAAGTTAAGTAATCCATTGAAATTGAAACTTTAAGGTTGTATAAGTTAAATAAAATTTGTGTAAAAAAAAAAAAAATTAAATAATAAATAAAAATTCAAATTTGGCAGGTTGCGATTTATATAATATTTGATAACAGTTGGATATACAACAAGTTGATGACTTTATTAATAATGGACTATCCTTACCAATACATAAAAATGAGGTATATATAATAAATGATGAATACATTATTCTTCCTACAAATATATATACATAAAAATGTTTTTCTGTAGATAGAAAACTAAAGCATTTAATCATGTGGTAGATAATTATTTACTAATCTCAAAATAATGCGGTCAAAATTACCTTGGCTACAATATCAAACGCCCTTTATCCTAATATAAACTCCCGATGATTCAGGTCTCATAGTGATAAAATAATTCAAATAACAAGGAAAAAAATTATTATTGCTCAATTGTCCTCTCACCTTGAATACAAGGTTCCAACTTGCGAAAATTTAAATATATTTTGCTAATTAATGATAAAATAGTAGAAATGCAACATTAATAAAGGACCTTCAATGAACATCGAAATTTATAAATGAACAATAAATTTAGTAACTTAAAAGAGTTGAAGATCGTTTATGCATGTACTAACTCTGAAAGCATGCATATCAAATAAAGTAAATCATACCATTTTTAAATTTCAATAAGTATTTACTTTTTCATATTAAATGGGGTCTGCACGCTTTACGAAACTATAACCAATCATTTGGAAAATTCTAACTGTTAAATTGATAGTTCTACTATCAATTGAAATTTATTTTAATTATACAATATTAAATTAAAAGTCCAATTAAAATGGGTAAATTTATCCTACACCCTCACGTTACCTAGATACTACTTTAAAAAATTTTAATTCTTACATAATCCAATAAATTGAAAAATTTTTTCCATATATAAATGCCAGATCATATTTAATCTACAACTGTAAAAAAAAAAGTCGAGGTGTGATGCAATGTGGGATATTTTTATATATTTTTATATAGATTAATCAAAAATTGTAATTAGATACATGCGAAAAAACTAATAGTAATAATATTTTTACTACTTAATTTACAAAAAAAAAAAAATCACATCCGATTCTTAATATGTGAAAAAAAAAACATTTTTATTTTTCAAAAAAAAAATCCAATAATACTATATATTAAAACTAAATTTTTTAAATTTTCAATACTACTTTATTTTTTCTATATATCATACGATACTATGCATATAGCAAACTAATATATAATAAACTACAAAAAGTAAATAAATCAAAAAATTTTCATAGTATTATTATTGTTATTATTATTATTATTATTATTATTATTAACAGAAGGAGAAGAAGAATTATTATTAATATTGTTATCGGGTATCATCATACTCAAAGTTTCTTCCATTAATTCGGTTGAATTGGGATACCTTTTACCAATACTTTTCCATTCTTGAGTTTTTCTAATTTTACCAAAGTTCTTTATCACATACTTCGTGACCATCTCTTTTAAATCTGACCATTTCCAAGCCCAACCGAATAATACATCACCGGCAGTTTCGGGAGTGAGATCCCTATCAATTTTTGCCATCGCTCGTTGTCTTAATTCGGTGATTAAATATTTATCGGCGATGGCGAATACTTCTAAAACATTATCCCGTATGGTCACATTGGGATTTACGGAACTTGCTCGACCGGTATAAAGAAATCGTAACATTGTCAAAAAAGTTTCATAATCAAAATCTGTGATATCGATATTATATCGAATAGGAGAATATGATTGTTGTTGTTGCTGTTGTTGTTGTTGTTGTTGTTGTTGTTGTGGTTGTGGCTGTGATGATAATTGTAATTGTAATTGTAATTGTAGTTGTTGTTGTTGTTGTTGTTGTTGTTGTTGTTGTTGTTGTTGTTGTTGTTGAGTAGATAAGATTTCCACTTCCATATCATTATTTGTTGATTGATTATTTTGAGTCACACTTTCCGCCCATTGTTGTTGAAATAATCTAGAGAAATAAGTTGAACGTCTAGAAAGTAAAGAACTACTGGCGTAAAGTTGTCTCCCATCAATATTAAATTGAACATCAACAATATCTCTTTTATTTAATTGTTCTTCCCAAGCAGCAACTAAATCATCAGAAGTAGGAGGACAAGGAAATGGCATGGAAGTTCTATGAAGTTGCCATTGAGCTACTCTAAATTCTGCCCCTATAATTAAATCGTTGGGAAATTTTGCTCGGGGAAAGAATTGAACCGCTCCTAAAATAATAATTAATTAATAGTTTATATTATAATTTAATAATCTATATTTAAATAATTAATATTATATATTAAATATTAAATACCTCTGTGTGGTTTTTTAAAGGTGAATTTATCATTCGCCACAAAACATTTCTTAAGATAAGGTCTAAAGATATAATAATCAATATAATTCTCATTAATTCTCGATAATCTTCGATAATTTTCGATAATTCTCGATAATTCTCGATAATTCTCTCTTCAATAATTTTCGATAAACAACGATTAATTCCAATGAAGAAAATAAAATGAAGAAATATTAATACTTACGGGGTAAACCCAATATCTTGATCCATCCATATTAAATGCGAACTTGGATCTCTCAAATAAATCATGGCAGGTAATAAATGTTGCCTTTGACCTACAGATGTTGACATACTTTCTTGTTTATTCAAGAGAGCTACTAAGAAGAGTGAACAATATTGTGGATATTCGAAATTCATCTAAAAAAAATGTAATAAATAAATAAATAAACAAATAAAGAATTTATGAAATATTTATGAAATAGAATAAATATTTATGAGATAAATTTAAATTAAATTTTAATTAAATTATTTACATACGATAAATTAATTAATTAAAAATAAAATAAAAATAATAATTATAACAAATAATAATAAATTATCACCTACTGGAACAAATTTCAATTGCCAGAAAACATTAGCAGAAGTTCCAAATGGAGGAGAATAGATTGGTCTGGTAAGTTGTTTAACATTATTAATGGTAAATTCAAATGTTAATTTTGATGATGTGAGAAAATTATTATTATTATTATTATTATTATTATTATTACTATTATTCGGAAGTGAATTTGTTGTTGATGTTGCATCCATTTTTTTTATTTTATTTATATTTTATATATATTTTCTTTCCTTCCTTTACTTTTTAAATTTATTATTATGCTTATTTTTTCCTATTTTCTTTCTTTCTTTTCTTTATCTTCCTCTTTTTTTTTTTCTATATCTGATATCTATACAAAATGTATTATTAATTTTATTTTTATTATTATTAATATTATTTTTATTATTATTATTATTATTCTTCAACTTTTTTGTTGTGTAAATATATGTAAATATAATATTATATAAGAATAATATTTATTATTATTTTTGTTATTATTCTGTAATAATATATTATTATTATTTTTGTTAATTTTTTTTTTTTTTTTAGATTTTTTTTTTTAGACAATGGATAAGTGAAATTGAATGATGATAATTTTGATGGATGAGTAATTTATTAAAAAAAGTCAAGTCATAAACAAATAAATACTTGTAGTAGTAACCTAATAATTCGGTTGGGTATTTATGGATTTTTTTTTTTTTTTTTTTAGAAAATTGATGAGGCGATCGATGATGAGCTAATATATTAAATACATGCACCGTGCCGTGTTGCAAAATAAAAAAAATATTTGATTTTTTTATTGACTTATTTATATATGTTTACAAGCATTATACATTAACTGTTTATCTCCTGCATCACATCGAAAATTCGATGTTCATATTAAATTTATCAAATTACTAAAATTACTTTTATACATATACAGTACATATAACATCTAATATATATTCGAAAATCTTAACGATATGATTAATCCGAAATTTTACAAAATTTTCTGCATGACAGATACAGAACAGATAAAATTGAGTTAACTTTTCTTCTCCCAGGTGAATTAAATAAATAAATAAAATTCTATTTGATAATCACCAAATTCAGTATTTTGTTTAATTGTTCTCTCAAAGTGAAAAATAAATTTTTTATCCATAACGTATTTTATATATATTTATTTATCTATTTTTTTTTTTAAAAAAAAGTCGATTCGATGGTTTATTCATTTCATTTATATTGTTTAATATTATTTATATCAATAATAATTATAAAAATAATAATAAAAATAATAATAATTGTAATAAAATAATAATAATAATAATAATAATAATAATAATAATAATAATAATACCAATAATAATAATACTAATAATAATGATAATGATGACAATAAAAGAATAATAATAATAAGAAATAAGAAAGAATAATATTTTATTGTAATACACCAGTATTCGTAACTACTGTGTAAATGCCTGTAACTACTTTGTAACAGGTATAATCATCTATCTTTCTTGTCGTTTTCTTGTCGTTTTCTTGTCTCTTTCTTGTCTCTTTCTTGTCTCTTTCTTGTCTCTTTCTTGTCTCTTTCTTGTCTTTCTTGTCTTTCTTGGTAATTCATTTAAACCATTTTTTTTTACATCCCATCTTTGTTAACCATAGAAGAATAAAACTCGGAAAATAAAATGAAATAATAAGATTATACTGTATTAGTATATTTATGCATCTATTATTGTATCTAGTTTTATTATGGTCTAATTCCCCTTTCTATTTTGGTTTCTAATTTCATTATGTTTAATCTTCCTTTCTAATATATATATAGTTTATTTTTTTTATAATAACAATTATTTACATTGGTTAATGGTGAGACGCTCTCCACGTGGCTTCATTATTATGTATATTTTGTGTATATTATGTGTCCACTCAAAACGTTGAACGTCGATCCAAATGCCAAAATGGGATTTTTGATTTGTTTTTTTTTCGGGCTAATAGGGGTTTGATAACGAGAATCTTTAATAACAAACATGATATGTAGTATTACTATTACAACCAACTACTATATTGAATTGTTTAGAATTATATTTAGTATTACTAGGATTAAATTTATTACTAGAAGAATTAATTAGAATTGATCGGGCTAAATTAGATTTTTCACCGAAGAACAAAAGAAAGAAAGGTTACACAGAACACTAATCAAGTTATTAAGTTCAAGACCCCTTTGTTTATTTTTATATGTTTATAGTTTAGACCGAATTCCTGTTTTATTATTCAATATTATTCAAATAATATTATTATTCATTCATATTTATATATTTATTCGATCTTTTCTCACTCTTTTTTTTTTCTTTTTTCTTTTTTTTTTTTTTTTAAAAAAAAAGCTATTAAATCTTATAAATCCTGGTCATTTTTTTGTGTATCACCTTTCTTATCTACCTTTCTTGTTATTAAATGTGTAAAGTTATATCAAAGTGTGTTATTAAATTTATTATTAAATTTATATATTCAAATATCTGATATTATTTTCTCCTATTCTAGAAATTCCAGAAATTCTATTTATCTTATCTAATTAAATTCATATTCATATCTAGAATTTTAAATTCAGAATATATACTATATTTATATTATATTATATATATTATTATCTGATATGATGGTAAATAATCCAAATAACTCAAATGATAGTTCAAATGATTGTTCAAACAATAGTTCAATTAATAATTCAATTAATAATTTAACTAACAATAATTTAACTGATAATTTAACTGATAATTTAACTAACAATAATTTAACTGATAATTTAACTGATAATTTAACTAATAATAATAATAATAATAATAATAATAATAATAATAATAATAATAATAATAATAATAATAATAATAATAATAATAACTATAATAATAATAATAATAGTAATAATAATAGTAATAATAATAATAGTAATAGTAGTAGTAGTAAAGGAAGAGATAATTATTATGATGTGGTGATTCGAGCAGGAGAACATCCAAATGTAAATAAATTTCAAGCAAATTCGAAATTATTAAGTTTACGTTGTTCTTATTTTCGAACAGCTTTATCAAATAATTGGGCAAGAAAAGAAAATGATGTTTTCATAATTGAGAAACCAAATATTTCGCCTAAAGTTTTTGAAGTGGTTTTAGGGTAAATAATTATTTCATATTTATTTTATTAATTATTTTATATTTATTTTATATTAATTAATTTATATTATTTGATATTATTTTATCATAATTAATTATATCATTTAATTATAATTTTTAATTATCATTACTTAACATTATTCAATCATTATTTAATTAATTAATTTTAATAGTTATATTAATAACGGAATAGTAAATTGGAACGTGTTAGAGGGTAAAGAATTTTTAGAAATTTGGTTGGCAGCCGATGAATTTATGTTAGATGAATTAGAAAGGAATGTTCGAGAATTTTTTGAAATGAAATCTGAACGTTTACGATCAAATTTTATTCAAATACTTCGATTGGTATATCAAAATCTTTCATTTGAAAGATTTCGAGGTAATTGTGTTGACATCATTAATACCACTGATTGGTTACAAGATACATTTAATAATGATGATGATGATGATGATGATGATGATAACAATAGTAGTAATAATAATGATAATAATAATAATGATAATAATAACAATAGTAATAACACAACAAGTGATATCAGTAGTGGTTATGATAATAGTAAGAAGAAGAAGAAGAATTCAGCAACAACAACAACATCAGCAACAACGAATGAATCAATATTAGATGAAACAATTCTTTATAATTTACTTAATGACGAAGATTACTTCGTTCATGATGGAGTGATGTGGAATTTATTAATTCAATGGGCTTGTGCACAATCACCTAAATTAAATTTGATTCAACTTAAAAATTGGAAACCACAAGATTTTGAAATTTTGAAATTTCGAATTGATCACTTTTTACCTTTCATAAAATTTGGTTTGATTTCTCGTAATCATTTTTACGAAAATGTTTTACCTTTTAGACCTCTTTTATTGTCCTTGGAAGAAGAAAAGATTGTTAATAATAATAATAATAGTAGTAGTAGTAATGATTCATTATATTATTATCTCCATTGTTTGGATGATGAAGGAAATCCCAAGAATGATGTTCTCTTAAAACCAAATGTTATTTTGGAAGATTCTAAAATATTGAATCATTCTCATGCCATTATGATTGCGAGATGGATTGATACCGGTCGAGATAAAAATAACAATAACAATAATAATAACAATAATAATAAAAATAATCATCATCATCATCATCATCATAATCATAATCATAGAGATAATAGAAATAATAATAACAATCACAATAATGATAATCATAGAGATAATCATAATAATCATAGAGATGATAATAACAACAAAGATAATCATTCTTTTGATTCAATTAGTAATTATACTTTAGAAGATACATCATCAATTGATGGAGATCATGATTCTTCTACTGCTTCTTCGATTATTTCTACCAATAATATTATTAGCGACAATAATAATAATAACAATAATATTAATAATAATGTTGATATCAACAATAATAATAATAGTAACAAAAATCAATTGAAACCATCTACATTTAAACGTTTTTTAGCTTTACGTAAACATAAGAAATCATTTGAATTTAATAAAAAAGATCATCATCACTATCACAACAATAACAACAATAATAATCATCACAATAATATTAAAGAAAATAATAATCATGTTAAGGAAAATAAAAAAGACAAACTATCTTTCATCATTTCATCAAATTTTTTTAATAGCATTTTTCCATTATCATCATCTTCTCCTTCTTCTTCTTCTTCACCTTCAACTACTTATAAATTTAAATTAATTTATTGTGGTAGTCGAGATGGTTTTGATCATAAAACCTATTATTCAAAATGTGGAGGAAAAAGTTTAACCGTGGTAGTAGCAACTTTAAGTCATTCCCGATTTATTGTTGGAGGTTATTATCCTATTAATACCCAAGGTTCTTATCCATATGAAGTATTTGCTGGTTCAATGGATGCTTTCATATTTTCTTTTGGTGGTGGTGGTGAGAATAATTCTGATGAAGAATCTTCAATTATTAGTAGAGTTTTAAAGGAACATGCTCATGAAGCTATTTGTAGAACTGTTTATGGACCGGGATTTGGTGATAGTGATTTAATTATTAAATTAGGAATTGGAAACATTGGTGTTGGTTCTTGTTTTGGGAATAATTGTTTAAAGAAAGGAGTTAGTGGTAAAAAGTTTTATGAAAGAAAAATTATAGAAATGAATACTTTTAATTATGATGATATAGAAGTATTTCAAATTATTAAAATTTGAAAATTAATTGATTCTTTTATTTTTTTTTTACTTTTGTTTTTTAAGAATATTTTATTTCAATATTTTATTTTTGTTCACAATATTACTGCATTTGTATATGTGTATGTATGTGTGGTAGTAAGTAAAGAAGTAAAGAAGTAAAGAAGTAAGAAAAAATAATGAAGCAAGTAAATAAAGTAAGAAGTAATATAGTATTTAAAATTTTTCATTTTATATTTTTTTATTATTTTTATTTAATGTATATAAATATATTATGATAACATATAAATACATAATACATATATTTTGTTTTGTTCTTTTTTTTTGCTAAAGAAATCAACAATTATAACTAATAATAAAGATCATCTGTTGTTGCTCTTGATTTTTCTGACATTCTTGAAAATTCTTTTACAATATAATAATTTTTAATATAATAAATAAGGTCAATACAATTATATATAGAAAGGGAGATAGATAAAAAATATAGGGAGAGAAATTAATGGTCTTTTTTTTTAAAAAAAAATAAATAATATCTCTTAAATTTTCAATCAATAATTTATCTAATAATTAGAAAATATTTTGTTGTCATCAATTCCTCATCTACTCTCAATGCATTTTCAAGATAATCCTATCATATTTATATTAATGAAATTATTGAACAATGGCTTATTTGTATTAACTGCTGTTTGTTAACTGTTAATAAATAAATTTTAAATTATCAAATGTAAGATCCAAAAAGTCAATGGAATCCAATATTATCTTTACAAATATAAGAATAGTAATCTGATTATTAAATCATTTTAAGCTAAGCCAGCACATACTTATGGGTCATCATTTGTTTAAAGATCTGTTATTCTAAGAAATCCTTTTATATAGCTGACATTCACACTATCAAAATTTGTTTACTTTAAGCAAATTATAGAAAAAGAATATGGAAGGTATTCGAATGAAGCACTACATGCGCATGAGTTTACTTCATTATATGATAATTCTTGATTATTATTAATTTTGTATGATTATCTTCACAGACTATATGAGCATATTAGACTCTGTTTGTAGAGATTTTTATTATAATTATTATCTATTAGTAATTATTAACTAATTTTTATATTTGTATATTATAATATTTAATTAGAAGTGAATAATTAATAATTAAAAAAAATAAATAAATTTAATTAAAAATAGAGTTTCAACCCAGATTTTGTTTCCAACTAAGCCAAGTAATTGAATTTAGAATTTAACTTTATTAAATTGTTCCTTAAATCTTTATCACAAAAATCACTTTTGAATCCATTTGTAGTAATCGATCTGATATAATTATTATTTTATTATTTTACTATTTAAAATCATGTTTTTTTTTGCATAGGTGTATTTATTGAATATCTTGGAAAATATACCTTTTATGAAACATCATTAGAAATCTCAAAAAAAAAGGTATGGGATTGAAGCTATAGTAGGTGAAACAATGAAGATCCCATTCTGATAAATATTGCTGACATTAAAGAAATTTCAAAGAAAGAAATTGTAGTATAAAAATTAATTTTGTGTATTATTATTACTTTTATATAATAATATTATTTTAAATTCTGTTAGGTAAATTTTCAACCTTTTATAATATTAAAAAATCACAGTTACAAGATGTATATGTGCTTGTATCATGTTTGGTTCTTATCTACTATTATAATCTAGATATTGTTTGATTATAAAAAAGCAATAAAACTTTAACTAATATTTAATAATTAAATTAAATTTTATCATTTCTCTCAGTATCATATTATAGCTCTTTTGTAAATGGGAATCCAATAAGATATATTTAATTTCTTATTTTATACTATAATTTTCTTCTGTTTTCTTCTATATCTTTCAGTTCTGGTCTATTTGGAATTTTAACTGATTTGACTACAGATGCATTTTTTTACTATGTTAAAAGATTTAACTATAGATTGTGAAAATCTTAATAATTAACTATGCATAAAATTACCTTCTTTTAATAGGGTAAGTACTATGGAAATTTTTGAAAATTTGAAACTTACAATGTGAATTAGTTCTTTTGATTAAATTTCTGCTGAAACTTTCTTTTAAAGATGCTATTAAGAGACTAATTGTTGTAACTTTATGATATCTGGATAGGATTAGTTTGATCAGGCTCAGTGCACACAAGTCAAATGCAAAAGATATGCCATACTGAAAAGGAATTCTGATTTTAACTGATTATAATATAGGACAATCAATTTTTACTGATTTTTAGCTAATCTAAAGTATAGAAATTCTGACTTTTAATATAGAAATCACCATTCAGTACAGTAATTCTTTTGTATTTGACTAGTGATAATTTCTATAATGATTATAAAATACTTTAAGTAGATTTTATTAAATGTATAAAATATTAATTATTATTATAAATTTGAAGTATCACATAATTATTACTACTGTATTGAAATTCACTAGTCAAATACAAAAGAATCACTGTACCAAATGGTAATTCCTATATTATAGATCAGCTAAAAATTGACCATCTTATTACATCTTATATTATAAATCAGCTAAAATCAAAATTCCTTTTCAATATAGCAATTCTTTTGTATTTGACCTGTAATTCATTGGTATTTAATTAATTACAATTTAGTTAAAAAGTCATTCCAATGTACCTTTTTTTTTACAACTAATTTAATATCATTCTTTTCTAAGAGAAGTCAACAAAAATCATATAATTGATCAGTTTTTCACATATTGATGATTCATTGAAAAGCAAATCTAAAAAATCAGGACACTTGAATCAGGAGAATTAAATATCTATTCTATATTTGTTTCTGTTCTTTTATATTTACTTTGTCTGAAATATACATGTTCCCAAAATTGATTTTGGATTTTTGAGGTATTTTGACTTTTTGAGATTTATGCAAAATCTATTCTATA